CTTTGACTTGATTCTTGGGATCCTCTAGTCTGCTGTTGGATCTCTGTATATTATTTTTAATTTAAGTCAGTGTATGTTTAATTTCTGACTGGTTCTTTTCCATTTTTTGGCATTCTCATTAAGATCCTTGAAGTCTCACTGAGTTCCTCGGAGGTTCGTTGAAGGTTCTTGAGTAGCCTTATAACTGTGGTTTTGAACTCTATGTCCTCCATTAGTTTTCTTTCCTCCATTTCTTTCATTTGTGACATGTTTCTCTGTCTCCGCATTTTTGGCTGACTGCGAGAACCCTCTGAGTCTACAGTGAAAGAACTGCTGTGCTGGAGACACCCTTATGGGGTAGAACTTGCTTCAGTGGGGCTTTGGTGCTCACTGAGTCTGCTTCTTGAGTGTGTCCCTTATGGATGTGAGGAGTTGAAATTTGGTATCTGGCCAGGGTACCCTGGATCCTGGATCTCCTAGTCAACCACTGTGTGAGTCCACCTAGCAGGAGCTACAGTGATATCAACAGATTTCTCCTCTTTGTTTGGGGTTTGGAAGTTTTGGAGCTTTCTGACCCAGCTGCAGTTTGTTCGGTTATGCTGCAAAAGTGCAGGTGATTCCTTTGTGTTGCTGGGCACAGCTTGGGTAGGGATGTAAATTGAGTAGGGCGGGGTCTCAGAGAATCACCAGGGCGGAGCAAACAGCAATGTCTGTCCTCAGTAGTCTCCGCGACTCCGCGTCTCTGCATCCCCCACAGCAACAATGATCCCTGCAAGCAGCTCTACGAGAAAGCCACCCTCCCTTTCTGACCCGCTGCAAGACAGTCCAGTTTCTCCTCATAGGAAACTGGGACCCCAGAGTCTCGCTATAAACGAGTTCAGTGCATTCGAGAGCTTGTATCCCCTTCCAATTGAAAAAAACCGCCCACCCAGGTGTAGCCGCCTCGCGCTCGCCTCCGTACCTCTGTTCTTGGCGCCTCTGCACCGCCTACCCGGTCTCAATGCGCTTTTTTCTTTCCTTCTAGTTGTAGAACTTTCACTCGGCCAGCTTTCCTGTGGTTCTTGATGATAGCTGTTTTGTTTTATAGTTGTAGTTTTAATATTGTTGTGGGGGCCAGCACGTACAGGTTTATACCTTATGCTGCCAACTTCTCTACCATGTCTTCTTGCCAGTGGACAAACTGGATTAGAAATAGGAGAATCTCTATCAAATCTAATTTTCTTTCACTTCAAATCTTCCTTTTCCTGTGTATTCCGCAGTTTCCTTGTGTGACAGTAGTTTAATGTGTCTATTTAACTCACAAAGTTTTTCAATAAGTTACTGCCCTTTGTGGCCTTAGAACATCGCCCATCTGTAGGAGAGTCTCCATTGTTACCCGATTTGTTCATCACTATCATCTTGTGATTCTCTCTTGTTCAGTTCCAAAGTTACCTGTGACTGTGTCATATGTGTTTTCATTTTCTGATTAGATCTTTGTCAGATTGTGGTTTTGTATTGTCAAGTGCTGATACAACATGCTGGAATGTTCTTCTTTGGTAATAAGTGAGTTACAGAAATACTGGGCACCTCATATTCAGGAAAACATTTTGTTCTTCCATTTAAGTTTACTTTAGGAAAAAGGAATGATTATGTTTTTCAGTATCTTTCCTTAGTATGTCTCTTAATCATGTTATACTTAACCTGAAATATTTAGTTTAATTTTTCATTTGTTTTGTATTGATTTAAGAGAAATAGAGAACAGTAAAGACAGAGGGGTGGGGAGAGAGAGGGAGGGAGAAAGAGATAAATATCAATTTGTTATCCCATTTCTCTATGCATTTATTGGTTGATTCTTTCATGTGCCCTGATTGCGGATCGAACACACAACCTTGCCAACCTTGGCATACTGCAACTATGCTCTAAACAACTGTGCTACCTGGCCGGGCTGAAATGTTTATTTTATTTATTTATTTAGATTTGAAATGTTTATTTTAAACATTAGTCATTCTCTGCACATTTTACAAATTTCTTATGGTTCTTTTTTTTTTTTTTAATATATTTTATTGACTTTACAGAGAGGAAGGGAGAGGGGTAGAGAGTTAGAAACATCGATGAGAGAGAAACATTGATTCAGCTGCCTCCTGCATACTCCCCACTGGGGATGTGCCCGTAACCAAGGTACATGCCCTTGACCAGAATCGAACCTGGGACCCTTCAGTCCGCAGGCCAATGCTTTTTGATGTTCTAATTGGATGTTAATATGCTTCCTTATATTCCAAATCTCTGATTTGATACTCTTCGTCATCTATTCTACTTTATTTGTTTATTTATTTTTTGTTAATCCTTACCCAAGGATATTGTTCCATTGATTTTTAGAGAGAGAGTGCCAGTATATTGGGGAGACAGAAAGAGAAACACTGATGTGAGAGAGACACATCGATTGGTTGCCTCCCATATGAGCTGACCAGGGCTGGGGTTCAAGCCTGCAACCGAGGTACATGCTCTTGCCCAGAATCGAACCCAGGATTCTTCATTCCTCGGGTGGATGCTCTATCCACTGAGCCAAACGGAATTGGGCATTCATCTACTCTACTCTAGATTTCCTGTAATGTTTAAATTTATTTCATTAATGGATTCTTCATTTCTGACTGATATGTTTAATGGTTTCCGTGTTCTTTTTTATTCTATTGAAGTTTTCGTGATGTTTCTTGAACATCATTATAACCATTGCTTTGAACTCTGTGTCTGGTAGTCTGCTTGCCTCCATTTCTTCTGGAGATTTCTCCTTTTCTTGTATTTGGGACCTGTTTTTTGTCTTTTCACTTGGCTGGGTCTTTGTGTTTGTCTCTGTGTATTAGGTAGAGCTGCACCATCTGCTTGACTTTGTAGCCTCGCTCGAGTAGGCATTCTGTAGGGCCCAGTGGCACGCCCTCCCGAGTCACTCCAGCTAGGTGCTCCAGGCCTGTGCTGTGTGTGGGTTGTGTTTTCTGTCCTGCAGTCGTGGAGCCTTGATTGTTGTTGGCATATTACTGAAGGGATCATCCCCTAGGCCAGTGATGGCGAACCTATGACACGCGAAATCATTTTTTGGGTTGATTTTTCTTGGTTAAATGGCATTTAAATATATAAAATAAATATCAAAAATATAAGTCTTTGTTTTACCATGGTTGCAAATATCAAAAAATTTCTATATGTGACACGGCACCAGAGTTAAGTTAGGGTTTTTCAAAATGCTGGCACGCCGAGCTCAAAAGGTTCGCCATCACTGCCCTAGGCAGATTGACTATGAGGACCAACTGCAACTTCAGAAGAAAAGCAGCAGTGCTTAGGTCAAGCCTCTTGAGTGTGGGGCTTGAGTGACCACCAAGTCTGCCCCGTGAGTGTGTCTCTCCTGGAGGTTGTTGGGTTGTTATCTGGCGGGGGCAGGGTGGGGGGAGGATGAAGCTATCTGACAAATGGACTGGCTATGGGGCCTTCCAGGAGGTGTGGGCCAAAGTCAGTCACCACATGTGTCTTTCTGGGGCCATTTGATACGAGCTATAGAGCGACCTGCAAATGGATATTTCTTTTTTCTTCTTAAATATGTTCTTATTGATATTAGAGAGAGAGGAAGGGAGAAGGATAGAGAGATAGAAACATCATTGATCAGCTGCCTCCTGCATGCCCCCCACTGGGGATCAAGCCCGAAACCCAGGCATGTGCCCTGACTGGGAATTGGACCAGCATCCTCTTGGTTCATGGGTCAATGCTCAACCACTGAGCGGCACCAGCTGGGCAATGGCTGCTGCTTGTGTTACCTTGGAGTTGCCCAGGAGAGGTCCAGCTGCCACCCAAAACTAGTTGCCACCAAAGCCAAGCCTCAAGCCACTTAAGTGTGACGTACGGGGCACATGAAAGCCAAGTGCTGCTTGTTTGAGGGATTTGGGGAACGTCTGAAGCATGAGAAAAAAGAGGCCATTTTTATGGAAAAGCCACTAAACCTAGCAAAGCAGCTTGGGCGGGTCCCCAAGTTGGGTAGGACAAGTTCTCTAGCAGTCAGTAGGTCAAAGCTACAGTGTTAACCAGGTTGATGGAGACCCATATGGTGCGCGCTTGCTGGTTTGTGGGAAGGTCTCAGAAATGAACAATGGACTCAAGCAGCACTTTTCTCTGACAGAAACCTGCCCTTCCAGCTGTGGACTGACGACAGACAGACAATTCAGTTTCTCCCTGTCTGTCCAGCTGATGATGCCCTGGTGCTAGAGCTCAGAGTGAATGAGTCCAAGAGTAAGTCCGTGTGCAGGCCCTTTAAGAGGAAATCCTGCCCTAGCCAGTTTGGTTTGACCAGTGGACTGCAAGGTCCCCAGTTTGATTCCGGTCAAGGGCACATGCCCGGGTTGCAGGCTCGATCCCCAGTGTGGGCGTGCAGAAAGCAGCCGATCAATGATTCTCTCTCATCATTGATGTTTCTATCTCTCTCTCCCTCCTCTCCCTTCCTCTCTGAAATCAATAAAAATATATTTAAAAATAATAAACATTAAAAAAAAAAAAAAGGAAATCCTGTGACTCCAGCATCCCTCAGTCTCACTCAGCCCCAGTGCACACAGGTTGAGTGTTTCCTTTGTTGTGATAGGTACCCCATGTTTAGTTTTTTGCATTTGTAGTTTTTGTTAATAAATGAGGGAAGTGAATGATAGTTCTCAACACATACCCGGAGGACATTCAAATATGAGTCAGCCTTATGTCTATTTCCATTAAAGTCATGTGCATGTTTGTCTACAACCCTTACCACTACTTTGCTCATAACTCACGTTGTTTCTTCTTCTGCTCAGGTGTTGGAGTATGGTTGCTTTTTCCTGTGTAGTTATGCACATAGGTTACATGTATTATAACCTATGTGTATTAGGCTACTTGACTTTGTAGCCTCGCTCAAGTAGGCATTCTGTAGGGCCCAGTGGCACGTGTTTCTCTTTCTGTCTCCCCCCTATATTTATGTAGGTTACAAATGTTTATTTATTATATGTGCACTTAATATTTGTTTTTATGGATGAATTTATATTCTCTTTATGTGAGATAAAAACTTGTTACCAACGAAGGTAGTTTTTGAAAAGTTTTATAATTCTGTCTCTTTTAGATGTTATTTTTTATTTTCAATTTTGGTAAAAAACGTGACTAGAGCTGGCCTGTGTGGTTCAGTTGGTTATATCGTCGTCTCCTACACTGAAAGGTCACCGGTTCAATTCCTGTTCAGGGCACGTACCTAGGTTTGGGCTCAGTCGTGGTTGCTGTGTATGTAGAAGGCAGAGGATCAATGCTTCTCTTTCACATTGATGTTTCTTGCTCTCCCTTCCTCTCTATAAAAATCAATAAGGATTTTAAAAAACATAATAACGTGATTAAAAATCTACCATCTTTACCATCTGTAGCTGTACAGTCCAGTGGTATTCAGTATACTCACCTTGTGCATTTGATTTCTCAAAACATTCATCTTTAATATGCATTAAAAAACTACTTCCTCATTTGTTTTAAAAGCAAGGCCCGTAACTCCCTTTTTTTTTTTTTGAGGTGAAGGACATTAGATTACTCACCTAAGGGAAACCCTACGGTTTCTTTCTCTTTGTCACTTGTGTGCTTCACTTAAAAAATGCCCTGAAGGTTTCTCTCTGTATATCAATTGATGATATCTACTTCTGTTTCATGGCAGAATCGTCTCCCATTGTACGTATATAGTAAACTTTCTTCATTAATTCAACTATGCATGAACCTTTGAGTAGTTTCCACCTATCACTGGCTTTTGTGAATAACATTAGAATGGACACAGATGTGCAAATGTCTCTTGTCATTTCTCTTGTAAATGTTCTTTTTTTATAAATACCTAGAAATGGGATGGCTGCATCATGGGATTATTCTGTTTGTAATTTTTTGACAAATGCTACTGTGTTTTTCATACTGTTGGCACCAATTGATGTTTCATTAAGCCATGTATAGGGTCCATTTTCTCAACAGTTTATAAAACACTTGATACACTTTGTTTTTTTAAAATTATTTTTTAAAGTATTACATATAGTATTCCATATGTCTCCTTTTCCCAACATTGACCTCTCCCTGGCCACCCCCATCCCCCTATACTTTGTTTCTTTGATCCTGGTCATCCTTATTCTTCTGAAGTGACATCTTGTATTGTTGGGTTTTTTTTTGTATTGTTGTTTTTTATGTAGGTTACAAATGTTTATTTATTATATGTGCATGAAAAAATGATAGGAAAATGCTGGTTGATGTGGTTCAGTGGTTAGGACATCCGCCCGCGCACCAAAGGGTCATGGGTTCAATCCCTGCCCCATTGGGGCATGTGTGGAGAGCTAGTAATCAGTTTCTTTCTCTCTCACTCTCCCCCTTCTGTCCCTCCATTCCACTTTCTTTAAAAATCAGTGGAGCCTGGCTGGCATAGCTCAGTGGTTGAGCGTCAACCCATGAACCAGGAGGTCATGGTTCGATTCCCAGTCTGGGCACATGCCCAGGTTGTGGGCTCGATCCCCAGAGTGGGGCATGTAGGAGGCAGCCGGTCAATGACCACTGTAATCATTGATGTTTCTATCCCTCTCTCCCTCTGCCTTCCTCTCTGAAGTCAATAAAACTATATTTAAAAATATGTAAACATAAAAAATCAGTGGAAAATCATCCTTGGGTAAGGATTACAACAACAACAACAGCAAAAAACGATAAGAAAGCTTCCCGGACCTGAGATCAGATACTTCAAAGAAAAAGTCTGTGATCGAGGAGCACTTTTAGCCAGGCCCGTGTTGCTCTTGCTCAGTGGTTGAGTGTCGACCTTATGAATGAGGAGGTTACAGTTCGATTCCTGGTTGGGGCACATGCAGTGTTGTGGGCTAGATCCTCAGTGTGGGGCATACAGGAGGCAGCCGATCGATGATTCTCTTTCATCATTGATGTTTCCATCCTTTCATCTCTGGAATCAATAAAAATATATTTTCAAAACAAAATAAAGATCACTTTTAGATGCACAGCAAAATGCTGTAGAGTTAATGACAATTCCCACATGCTCCCTGCATCACCTGCCCCTTCTGTATGTTTTTTACCAGTGGTACATTGATTATATATTGGAAGCTACATTGGCACATTATTATCACTCAGAGTTGTAGTTCACCTTAGGGTTCACTGCAGCTTTGTACACTGTAAAGATGAGGAAAAATTTATGATGGCACATTTCCAAAATGATAGTATACAGATTAGCTTCTAGGATCTAATGATTCTCTCTACTCTGCCTGTTCTTCCCTATTTTCCCTACACTCTAGTAACCATTGATTTGTTTACTGGGTTCTTCATTTTCTTTTCTGAAATGTCATAGTTATCTTATAATATGTCACCTTTTCAAATTGGATTCTTTATTTTTTGTATTGATTTTTTGAGAGAGGGAAACATCAATTTGTTGTCCCACTTATGTATACATTTATTTATGATGGATTTTCGTATGTGCCCTGATCCAAGATCGAATCCCCATCCATGGTATATTTGGGTGATGCTATAACCAATTCAGCTACCTGACCAGGTAGATTGGATTCTTTCACTTAATTCTATGTATCTAAGTTTCTATCCTATCTCTTCATGTTTTGATGTATTATTTATAGTGCTGAATAATTTTCTATTGTATATACCTCAGTTTAATTATCCATTCACTTGTTGACACACACCTTTGTTGCTTCAATTTTTTTTGAAATTATGAAGATGTTATAAAGAGCACCTTGTAGGCTTTTGTGTAGATACAGACAGTCCTGGGACTCAACGTACTTCGTTTCGTGGTTACGTTGCCATCTTCCATTTATTAAAAAAAGAAGTTCCGCTAGGAGAAACCAAGATGCCTTTGGATTCTTCTAGTATTTTTATGGTTTCCCGTCGTACATTTAAGTCCTTTATCCATTTTGAGTTTATTTTTGTGTATGGTGTAAGTTGGTGGTCTAGTTTCATTTTCTTGCATATATCTGTCCAATTTTCCCAACACCACTTATTGAAGAGACTATCTTGGCTCCATTGAATGTTCTTTCCTCCTTTGTCAAATATTAATTGAGCATATTGGTTCGGGCCGATTTCTGGGTTCTCTATTCTATTCCATTGATCTATATGCCTGTTCTTGTGCCAGTACCAGGCAGTTTTGAGAACAGTGGCTTTGTAATACATCTTGATATCTGGTATTGAGATCCCACCTACTTTCTTCTTTCTCAGGATCGCTGCAGCTATTCGGGGTCTTTTTTTTATTACAATGAATTTTTGGAGAGTTCGTTCTAGGTCTGTGAAATATGCCGTTGGTATTTTAATGGGAAGTGCGTTGAATTTATAGATTGCTTTGGGCAGTATGGACATTTTAATGATGTTGATTCTACCAATCCAAGAACATGGTATGTTCTTCCATCTCTTTATGTCTTCCTCTATCTCTTTTTTCAACGTCCTGTAGTTTTCTGAGTAGAGGTCTTTTACCTCTTTAGTTAAGTTTATTCCTAGGTAGCTTAATTTTTTTGGTGAGATGGTAAATGGGATTGCTTTTTTAGTCTCTCTTTCTGCAAGTTCACTATTGGTGTATAGAAATGCCATAGATTTCTTGGCGTTAATTCTGTATCCTGCTACATTGCCGAATTCTTTTATTAAGTCTAATAGTTTTTTGATGGAGTCTTTAGGGTTTTTTAAGTATAATATCATGTCATCTGCAAATAAGGACAGTTTTACTTCCTCTTTTCCAATTTGGATGCCTTTTATTTCTTCTTCTTGCCTAATTGCAATGGCTAATACTTCCAGTACTATGTCGAACAGGAGTGGTGAGAGTGGGCATCCCTGTCTTGTTCCTGTTTTTAGGGGAAATGGTGTTAGTTTTTGTCCATTGAGTATGATGTTGGCTGTGGGTTTGTCATATATGGCTTTTATTATGTTGAGGTATGATCCTTCTATTCCCACCTTGCTGAGAGTTTTTATCAAAAATGGGTGTTGAATTTTGTCAAATGCTTTTTCTGCATCAATTGATATGACTATGTGGTTTTTTTCCTTCAATTTGTTTATGTGATGTATCACGTTGATTGATTTGCGGATATTGTACCATCCTTGCATCCCTGGGATAAATCCTACTTGGTCATGGTGTATGATCTTTCTGATGTACTGCTGGATCCGATTTGCTAAGATTTTGTTGAGGATTTTGGCATCTATGTTCATGAGGGATATTGGCCTGTAATTCTCTTTCATTGTGTTGTCTTTACCTGGTTTTGGTATTAGGGTGATGCTGGCTTCATAGAATGAGCTTGGAAGTGTTCCTTCCTCTTGGATTTTTTGTAGTAGTCTGAGGAGGATAGGTTTTAGTTCTTCCTTGAATGTTTGGTAAAACTCCCCTGTGAAGCCGTCTGGTCCTGGGCTTTTGTTTGCTGGAAGCTTTCTGATGACTGCTTCAATTTCTTCCATAGTTATTGGCCTGTTGAGATTTTTAGATTCTTCCTGATTAAGTTTTGGAATGTTGTATTTTTCTAGAAATATGTCCATTTCCTCCAGGTTGTCTAGTTTGTTGGAGTAGAGTTGTTCATAGTATTTTTTAACAATCATTTGTATTTCTGTGGGGTCTGTTGTTATTTCGCCTCTATCATTTCTGATTTGGTTTATTTGGGTCCTCTCTCTTTGCTTTTTGGTGAGCCTGGCTAGAGGTTTGTCGATCTTGTTTATCCTTTCAAAGAACCAGCTCTTGGTTTCATTGATTTTCTGTATTGTTTTTTTGGTCTCTATGTCATTTATTTCTGCTCTAATCTTTATTATCTCCTTCCTTCTGCTCACTCTGGGCTTTTCTTGTTGCTCTCTTTCTAATTCTTTGAGCTGTAGATTTAGATGATTTACTACCATTTTTTCTTGTTTGTTGAGGTAGGCCTGTAGAGCTATAAACTTCCCTCTCAGGACTGCTTTCATTGTGTCCCAAAGGTTTTGGATTGTTGTGTTTTCATTGTCATTAGTTTCCAGGATGTTTTTAATTTCTTCTTTGATCTCATTGGTAACCCAATCAATATTTAATAACATGCTATTCAGCTTCCAAGTGTTTGAGTATTTTGGGTTGTTTTTATTGTAGTTTATTTCTAATATTATGCCATCGTGGTCTGAGAAGATGCTTGGTATGATTTCAACCTTCTTGAATTTGAGGAGGCTTTGTTTGTGACCCAATATGTGGTCTATTTTTGAATATGTCCTATGAGCACTTGAGTAGAATGTATATTCTGTGGCTTTGGGGTGAAGTGTTCTGAAGATGTCAATTAAGTCTATCTGATCTAGTGCATTATTTAGGATTGCTGTTTCTTTGCTGATTGTTTGTCTAGAGCAGGGGTGGGCAAACTTTTTGACTCGAGGGCCACAATGGGTTAAACTGGAGGACCGGAGGGCCGGAACAAAAGCATGGATGGAGTGTTTGTGTGAACTAATATAAATTCAAAGTAAACATCATTACATAAAAGGGTACGGGCTTTTTTTTTTTCATTTCAAATGGGCCGGATCCGGCCCGCGGGCCGTAGTTTGCCCACGGCTGCTCTATCCACTGAGCCAAACCGGTTTCGGCATTTTTTTCTTTCTTAAATACTTTTTAATTGATTTCAGAGAGGAAGAGAGAGAGAACAATAGAAACATCAATGATGAGAGAGAATTATTATTTATTTTTAATAGTTCTTTATTGTTGAAATTATTACATATGTCCCCCAGAGAGATAATTATTGATCCGCTGACTCCTGCACCCCGCACACTGGGGATTGAGCTCACAACCCGGGCATGTGCCCTGACCAGGAATCGAACTGTGACGCCCTGGTTCATAGGTTGATGCACAGCCGCTGAACCATGTGGGCCAGGCACCCACTTTTTCTTTTTAGCAGCCATTACAATGCATTCACCATGTACCAGTAATGCCATTATTTTAGCACTCTGTATCATGCAGAACAAAAACATGTTCTTCAAGATGCTACAAAACCACAAGATCATTGAACATATCCTGTACCGTCATCTCTATCTCCTCAGAGAAGAAACTGGGAAGTGGGAGTTTTCTTATAATACTGCCACAGTTTGCTAGGGTGTTTTGAAGTTTTGTTGAAAAATGTAAGCAACTTTTTAACCCTCTTTGATGTGACTTTTCCTTATTCTGCCTGTCTTGGTCTTGCTTTGAACATTTAACTTAATTTTGGAGTACTCAGACATGTAATTTGGTGAGTAATTGTTGGTAAATTCAGTGTGTATTTATTCCCCTGAATGTCCTAACTGAAACTGTATTTCATATCTTTCAGCTATCTTATCCGAAGACAACCAGGCCTTTTTTCAAAAGCCAAAAATAGGAGATTTATTCCCTAAAATAATACTGGTAAGATATGGAAGGTATGGCTTTGATAATGTACATTTAGTGAAAGCCTTGGAATTTGAGGAGGAGTGTAAGATGAGAAAAAATTATTTTAACATGGACAGGAGTAACCTGGTACAGTTATTCATAATAAAATCATTGTCAATTAATGATGTCAAAAATATTACACATTTGGTAATACTCCCAATTAAAATTAGTTATATTTGTTAATTAATGTGTTTCTAAATGTGAAGACCAAATATAATGTTTTTAATATTATACATTCTTGGAATGAAAATACTGGAAATCTAGGAATTTAATAAACTATGCTCTAAATATAAGAATTATTACAGTGTAGTGTGGGATTAAATTTTCAATCATTTCTAGAATATAGTGATTTACACTCATAGAAAGTTTAAATTCAATTAATTTGTTGACTTCTGTATTAAGGTATCATTATACTTCCATTGAGAAATGTTTTTTATACAAATGTCTATAATTTATATAAATTTAGGAATTTTTTTTAAATATGTCTTTATCAATTTAAGAGAGGGAGAAGAGAGAGAAATATCACTGATGAGAGAGAATCATTGACTGCCTGGTTGCCTGTTGCACACTCCCCACTGGGGATCAAGACCACAGCTCAGGCATGTACCCAGACCAGGAATCAAACTGTGACCTCCTGGTTCATGGTTTGTTACTCACCCCATGAAGTCACACCAGCATGGAAGGAGTGTTGTTGTTTTTTTTTATACATCATGTTTTAATAGTTATCACAGAATAGTTATTTGAAAGAGTACATGTTTAATGAAATTATAGCTGTCACTAAAGCCCTTTCCATCTTCAATGATTACCAGAATATATGCAATGAAGTCAGAAGTTACCAATGCAAGGAACATTGGAAAAATTTTAAACAAGGGTCAAATTCTAATATACACCAGAAAATTCAGCTTCCAGAGAACCATTATAATGGTGGAAAAGTCTTTGACCAAATGTCAAATCAAAGTATTCTTCAGTTTATTCATACTGTGGCAAAAACAAACAAACGAAAATGTGACAAACCTTGGAAACAATTTTCAAATCATACTGAACAAGATAATATTCATACCAGAGAGAAAGCTTACAAATTTAATCCGTGTACGAGACTCTTCAGTCAAATACTCAATCTAAATAAACTTAAGAAAATCCGTACTGGAGAAAAACATTATAAATGTAAAGAATGTGGTAAAACATTTAATTTCCTTTCAAATATTCGTGAACATGAGAGAATTCATACTGGAGAGAAGCCTTATAAATGTAGAGAATGTGGCAAAGCCTTCAGCCGGTCCTCAGCCTTTATTTATCATAAGAGAATTCATACCGGAGAGAAGCCTTATAAATGTAGAGAATGTGGCAAAGCCTTCAGGAGCTCCACAACCCTTTCTGGCCATCAGATAACTCATACTGCAGAGAAACCATATAAATGTGGAGAGTGTGGCAAAGCCTTCAAGAGGTCCTCAAAGTGTCGTCGTCATCAGAGTGTTCATACCAGAGAGAAGCCTTATAAATGTCGAGAATGTGGCAAAGCCTTCACTGAATCCTCAATCCTCATTCAACATCAGAGAGTTCATACTGGAGAGAGGCCTTATAAATGTAAAGAATGTGGCAAAGCCTTCAGTGCGGCATCAAGCTTTGCTTATCATCAGAGAGTGCACACTGGAGAGAAGCCCTATCAATGTGGAGAATGTGGCAAAGCCTTCAGTGCAACATCAAGCTTTGCTTATCATCAGAGAGTGCACACTGGAGAGAAGCCCTATAAATGTGGAGAATGTGGCAAAGCCTTCAGTGCGGCATCAACACTTACTTTTCATCAGAGAGTTCATACTGGAGAGAAGCCTTATAAATGTAGAGAGTGTGGCAAAGCCTTTACCAGCTCCTCATCTCTTACTTATCATCAGAGAGTTCATACTGGAGAGAAGCCTTATAAATGTAGAGAATGTGGCAAAGCCTTCAGGAGGCCCTCAAGGTGTAGTCTTCATCAGAGTAGTCACACTGGAGAGAACCCTTATCAATGTAGTGAATGTGGCAAATCTTTCAGTACCTCCTCAAACCTTAATCGACATCAGAAACTTCATACTGGAGAGAAGCCTTATAAATGTAGAGAATGTGGCAAAGCCTTCATTGTGGCAACAGACCTTACTTATCATCAGAGAGTTCATACTGGAGAGATGCCCTATAGATGTAGAGAATGTGGCAAAGCCTTCAACAGGTCCTCAACCCTTACTGAACATCAGAGAGTTCATACTGGAGAGAAGCCTTATGAATGCAGACAGTGTGGCAAAGCCTTTAGTAAGTTCTCAAATCTTAGTAAGCATCAGAGAGTTCACACTGGAGAGAAGCCTTATAAATGTAGAGAATGTGGCAAAGCCTTCAGTGGGGCAACAAATCTTACTTATCACCAGAGAGTTCATACTGGAGAGAAACCCTATAAATGTAGAGAATGTGGCAAAGCTTATAGTAGGTCCTCAGCTCTTACTTATCATCAGAGAGTTCATAATATAGAGAAGCCTTTTGAAATATAGAGAATGTGGCAAAGCCTTTAACCAGTGTTCTTGCCATATTGTACAGCAAAGTGTATATACCTGAGACAAGCCTTACAGTTACAAGGAGTGCCATTAGTTCCTTACCAGCAGTGAGAACTTAGCGCCATAGAAGTCATACTGGGATGAAGCCTTATGAATTTGAAAAATGTGGACAAGCCTTTAAAGATATTCGTGATTTACTGTACATGAGAGACTTTATAGTGGAGAGAAACTTTACAGATGTAAGGAGTGAGGCAAATCTTTTCCTTGTCAGTGTGATCTTATTGAACATCAGATAATTCATTGTGAAGAGAAGCCTTACAAATGTGAAGAAGTAGGCACATTTTTAAATGACCATTGGTTTCTTTCTCAACACGATACAATTCGTAAGGAGAGAAGACCTATAAGTATAATGAGTTTGCAAAGCTTTTAATCAGGAGTGGTGTCTCACTCAACAAAAAATAATGGAGTGAAACGTTACCAAAGCAGAATATGGCAAAGCTTTTAACCTGTACTCAAACTTACTAGTAATTGGAAGGAATCATTCTAAATAGAAACAGTAAAAATATAAAGAATTTGCCCAAAGATTTAACCAATGTTCCAATTTCATTGCGCATGATCAAATTATGCTTTAAAAATTGTAACAAAGGTGCCAAAGTATATATTCTCATTTATATGTTATTCAATATCTGATAATTATTGCTGGAGTGAAGCCCAGCAAATATAAAGAATGTGGTGTTTTAAGGGGTTTGGCTCTGTGGATACAGTGTTGCCCTACAGACTGAAGGGTCCTGGGTTCGGTTCCGGTCAAGGGTATGTACCTTGCTTGCGGGCACATCCCCAGTGGGGAGAGTGCAGGAGGCAGCTCATTGATGTTTCTTTCTCATCTATGTTTCTAACTTTCTATCCCTCTCCCTTCCTCTCTGTAAAAAAAAATCAATAAAATATATTTTTAAAACAAAATAATGTGGCAAACATTGTGGTTCACTTGGTACGTGAACCATATTTGAGATCAGAATTCATACTCGGGAGAAACAATTAAAATGTAAACAGGGTCCAGAAGACTTTATTCCACATTCATAATATATTCCTCACATTGAAATTTCTAGCAGAGGGAAACCCTAAAGCCAAAGAATTGGGAAATCCTATAGTTGGACCTGCAGTCTCAGTCAATATCAGGGATTGCAATTTGGCATTGTTCAGATTATTACAGTTGTTCCTCTTTTTTTCCCCCATAGCTCCCCTCCACCCAGTACCCACCCCACCCTCTGCCCTTCTGAGAATAGTCAGTCCACTCCCTTTCTATGCCCTGATTCTATTATATTCACCGGTTTATTCTGTTCATCAGATTATTTATTCACTTGATTTTTAGATTCATTTGTTGATAGATGTGTATTTGTTGTTCATAATTTGTATCTTTACCTTTTTCTTCTTCCTCCTCTTAAAGGATACCTTTCAGCATTTCATATAATACTGGTTTGGTGGTGATGAACTCCTTTAGCTTTTTCTTATCTGTGAAGCTCTTTATCTGACCTTCAATTCTGAATGATAGCTTTGCTGGATAAAGTATTCTTGGTTGTAGGTTCTTGGTATTCATCACTTTGAATATTTCTTGCCATTCCCTTCTGGCCTGCAAAGTTTCTGTTGAGAAATCAGCTGACAGTCGTATGGGTACTCCCTTGTAGGTAACTGATTTTCTTTCTCTTGCTGCTTTTAGGATTCTCTCTTTGTCTTTTGCTCTTGGCATTTTAATTATGATGTGTCTTGGTGTGGTCCTCTTTGGATTCCTTTTGTTTGGGGTTCTCTGCGCTTCCTGGACTTGGAAGTCTATTTCTTTCACCAGGTAGGGGAAGTTTTCTGTCATTATTTCTTCAAATAGGTTTTCAATATCTTGCCCTCTCTCTTCTTCTGGTACCCCTATAATTCTGATGTTGGTACGCTTGAAGTTGTCCCAGAGGCTCCTTACACTATCTTCGTATTTTTGGATTCTTTTTTCATTTTGCTTTTCCGGTTGGGTGTTTTTTGCTTCTTCGTATTTCAAATCTTTGACTTGATTCTTGCGATCCTCTGGTCTGCTGTTGGGAGTCTGTATAATATTCTTTATTTCAGTCAGTGTATGCTTAATTTCTAGTTGGTTCTTTATCACAACATCGAGGGTTTCACCAGTCTTCTTGAAGATCTCACTACATTTATTGGCGGTCTCACCAGTCTTCTTTAAGATCTCACTACATTTATCGGCGGCTTCTAGACAGTTCTTTAAAGACCTTAAAAGTGTGGTTTTGAACTCTATATCCAACAGTTTGCTTTCCTCCAATTCTGTCGTTTGTGTCCTGTTTCTTTGTCTCGGCATTTTTTATGCTTCGCTGTGTCGATAGAGTGCCTTTCTGTGCTAAGTGTCCCAATTACCTGAGGTAGACACTCTTGGTGCACCCCCTTGTGGGCTTTGTGCACAGTCTTGTTGTA